CAGTTTTATGAAGATGAACACCTGGCTTACTAACAAGATGGCTGTGCATCCCAGCTTGTTGGTACCTCTCTCTTTTCTGTGTGTCTTTCAGTAGTAGTGGGTGGCTTCTATGTTAGTGGGACTGTGACTGCATCCACACTGCAGAAATAATCCAGTTTGACAACACATTAACTGCCATGGCTAAACGCTATGAAAACCCGGGAGTTGTAGTTTTGTGAGACATTTAATCTTCTCTTTGGGAGAGCTCATGTGCCACAATAAACTACAAATTCCAGGATTCCATAGGATGCATCCATGGCAGATGCAGTTTGTGAATCCACACCAGGTTTTAATTGAGGTGCTAAAAGACTTCTCCCATCTAAAAAAAAAATTAAAAGTGGAGATATGTTAACAGCATTATTGAAAGATAAACCAAAAGAGGAAATAGAGGAAGAATGGTTAACTGTTAAGGAATACTGGAAAATAAGAGATCTTTAATTTTTTTTAGGAAATTAGAAAATTGAAAAATGGGTTAATCAAATAAGGTATAGAGATGAAAATGGAGAAGAGGAATTAAAAAAGGGAGGAAGAATATATAAATGACAATTTATAAATTAAGGTCACACTTAAATTGAAGGTTGTAGGAGGTGAGATGAGGAGGTCAATATCAACTACAGGATTAGAATAGATGATGGAATCAATAAAGAAGAATGAAAGATCAAGTGTGTAAGGAATGTAAGCATTATAAATGTTTTTGTTTGTATATATATATATATATATATATGTTTTATGTTTGTATGTAGGTCGGTATTTGTATGTTATGTATTTTATGTATGTATGTATGTTTGAAATTAAAAAAAAATTAAAAGGTTCAGCACCATGGATACCTCCTTTAATGCTAGTGAAAACCTAGAATGGATTCACCATCCCATTGACAGGGGAGCCACCAGCATTATGGGGCTTTTTATAAGCCTAGTAAGTTGGTTAAATTTCTTCACCAGCTAGACTTCAGGTTGCAGGTTCCTTGCTAAACTGGTAGGCAGAGAAGACTTGAATCTTCTTAGCCTGAGTCGACATGTAATTAAATCCCATTGATTCAGTGGATCTACTGTACTTGGGTCTAACATTACTGGCTGGAATCCTATTGGGCAGTTAGAAATACATAACCTGCAGTTACGGATTTGTAACTGCTATGTATTTTTGGTCCCTAGTTTAGAGGCTATGTTGGGACTAGGAAAGTCCCCCAAACCCCACCTCCTGGGAAGTAGGCACTGGGAGTGATAGGATCTGTTCCCCTGACAATGGAGAAGAAGATGCTGTATATTTTCCCCTTCCCTCATGAGAGTGATCTCTGGTGGAAATGGACTTTGCAATAGGAGTCTTTTTTTTCTGCCTCTCATGCTGGAGATCACTCATGGGAAAGGGTAAGAACATCAGGCCACCACTTCTTGACCGATGGGGGAATGGACCCTCATTGATCCTAGTGGTTGCTTACTGATAGATAGGTGGGGTTTGGGCATGGTCTGGCCAGAATCCTCTACAGGATTCTGCTGTATATTATTATTTTTGGATTGTATTCTGCTTGGCAGTTGCATCTTTGTAAATGGCCTTTGTTGTTGTTGTGTGCCTTCAAATTGTTTCCAATTTATGGCACCCCTAATGGTTTTCTTGGCAGGATTTGTTCAGAGGGGGTCTGCCTTTGACTCCCTCTGAGCTTGGGAGAGTATGACTTTCCCAAGGCTAGCCAGTGAGTTTCCATGGTCAAGCAAGGATTCAAACCCTGGTCTCCAGAGTTGTAGTCCAACACCCAAACCATCACATCACACTTGCTCTCCTTTACATCTGTTCAAAATTGAACTCAGTAGTTTTGCAACAGCTATATTCACCAAAGGGCTGCCATGACTGTGCAAGCATCTGTTGCACAATGGTAGCCAGTGGAGTGACTGATGCACCATGGCTTGATGTGCAATGGCCACCGAAGTGCATTTGGGAGCTCCCCAGTGAACATCTGGATGTTGTCGAGGAAGTGCTTGAGCATGAAGAGAGTGCCCATTGTGCATCAGAAGTGCCCCCTGAGTATCAAACCATCTAGATGGTGCCCAGGTATGTGTCTTCACTATTCACCAATAGGGTTTTGTTGCAAAAGGATCTTCTAGCACCTTTGACACTAGCTGAAAGAAAGAATTTGGTAGCATGAGCTTTCATAGACATGATTCTGCTTCCTCAGATGCATGGAGTGGAGGGTCCAGGACCAGACCTATAGAAGGAGGCTGTGTGAGAGAATAGCAGTAGAAATGCAAGACTTGTAGGTATGGGGATGTTTAGTTGTAACCGTGGCCACTGGGGGACAAAGGCAAGAGGAGGGATGTTGCTTAAAGCCAAAGTGGATAGATAGCCATATGACCGGTCATGAGAGTATTGGAAGATAGTGTGGGAACAAGAAAGGAGACGTAATGAACTGGCTAAGAGAGATCTCATGAGGATGGAAGGTTAGCTAGTGGAGTGTGAAGGGAGCCAGCGTGGCATAGTGGTTTGAGAGTTGGACTATGACTCTGGAGATCAGAGTTCAAATGCCAACTCAGCCATGAAACCCACTGGGTGACCTTGGGGAAGTCACATTCTCTCAGCCTCAGGGGAAGGCCATGGCAATCCTCCTCTGAACAAATCTTGCCAAGAAAACCCCATGATAGCCTTAAGGTAGACATAAGTTGGAAATGACTTGAAGGCACACAATAACAAAGTGTGTCAGGAAACCACTGTCTCTGTTCAACCCACTGTTGATGGGCTGGACTTTGTGAATATATTCCACTTCTGCTGTTTTCCTTTCCAGTTTTCCTTCATAGTCTCTTCTTTTGTTGTTGTTCAAAGACCCCTGTTCTGTTTTGTTCTATCATTGAACAGAGCTACAAATTTGTAAAGATACAAAACATAGACTGTGATGTAGGATATTGGCCATCCTCATCCTTTTCATTCCCATATATTGTCAGCTGAGGAAGGCCTTGACCCACAAAATGTCTAACACCTTCTTTAACTAAAAAAATACCCATCTTGGGCATCCGGAGGCATTTTTTCCAAGTTTCTTTTGTGGCTTCCATTAGATGCTCCCCAATTTCTGATTCTTTTGCCTCCTGCAGTGGACTCCCCTTCCCCCCCTTTAAATGAGTTTTTAATGACAGTTTGTCAAGTTTCCAAATTCTGATTCTGTTCTTGCACAGCCGAAGTTCATCTGCCACTGGAAACACATTCGTCCACAAGCCAAGAGTCTTCTAACATGAGAGATCAGAGGCATAACTTTATATAGGGTGTCAGGATGAATTTTACAGAGCCCCATGAAAACAAAGGGGAAAGCTGTCCTCAATAACAGTTTGCAAGGAGCAATAAAAGATCAAGGGCATTGCTGAGATGCCATCTGAACAACCATTCTGTAGAGATGAAATGGTTCCTTTCCCCATTGGATTGCCCTTTTTATCTTTGTAAGTTTAA